GTCACATTCATAGTTGCATTTGCAGACATTGTTCATTAACGAATTCTTGACTGCTCCTGCCAACATGTTCGCTGACAAACATGCGTCCTCTACGTCTCTTCGGTCAAAATCAAACGGATAGTTGATAGGAAAAGTTCTCTTGTATCTCCTTGAAGCTGGATTGATAGGCTCAAGGTCCCCCTTGGCAATGACTTGATACACATCGTGATTGGTGTCAAATGTCACTGCTGGGCAACTGATCACATCAATGGGCGGCATAAGGCATGCATTGGATACAGATGCTAACATCGAGGCAATCAGGCAGACGGCTGCTGGGGAAGCTTTGGGAGTGTCAGGCTTGCCTCGATTCCCCTTTGGGGAGCGGCTATTCCTGGGACTCCTTGATCCCTTCTGCTTTGGCGAGCGGTCCCTGCCTTTTCCTGGACTTCTGCTGTTCCTTCGTCTGGATCCTTTCGAGTCATTGGACGAAGGCCTGGCAGGAGTGGCAGCACGAGGAGACTTGGTTTGCTTACCCTCGTGACTAAACCTACAGTCATTGCCTCTGTTGCATCTTCCCTGTTTCCAAAACTTGCATGGCTGCTTCTTCTTGCTCTTATCGTTCTTACCCCTTGACGATGATCTGCCACGGTCGGATGAGGGTCGTGATTGACTTCTGTCTTTCTTTGGTGGAGGCTTTTCATGTTTGAATGGGCAGGCATCATTCGTGCAGGTCCCTTTATTCCACTTGACACAGTATCCCTTTGGAATGTACCCAGTCTTCTCACCCACAGCCGGAGCTGCGCTGGACGACGAGGCACCGAGGGTCCTGGCAACTCGTTCACGATTGGACTCGAGTCGCTCCCTATCCAAGTAGCGGCGAACTGCTGTCACTAGGAAATCGTAGGACTTCTTTTCGGTCCCATCCTCAGCACGATGATATTCCTGCAAGTCGTGTGCTATTGCTTTACTGGTCTTGACTTGGTTAAAGAACAGAGTCTCCAGAATGCTAATCTCAGGAATCTTGGGGATACCAGCCATCACTTGATCCCAATTGCTGATGAATCCGCGTAGGTTGTCACCCTTAAGTTTGACACTGAACAAATCCTGTAGTGAGTAGGTCGCTCCATGCTTGATGTTTGTACTGAAATGTTCATGCATCATAAACAGTACTTGACGGCCCCTCACATAACGATGGTTTGTTGCTTCAGTCTCTTTATAAGTGTCAACCTTTCTTGCGAAATCACCCGTGAGAATATTGGTGAGCGCGGACAGCAACTTGGCATCCAGTGTGGTGAACTTGCCTACGTCACGAAGAGCCCCTATTGTTTGGCCTTCTTTCCAGGTCTCACTTATCCAATCAAATGCTTTATCAGGGTCAGTAGATGCTGACATTACAGCTTCCCTTGTGCGAATCCTCCAATTTCTGTATGACTCCGCATGGGGAAAAGCTGGAACTTTCACAGTGTCGGCTTCTTTGACCTTGTTCTTTTCATGTGACTGGTCCCTGGAACTGCCGAACATGGCTCTCATGCGACGGATGAATCGATGGTCACTATCATCAGAATTGTACCCATCCCCGTCTCCATCATCATCATCACCGTCCCCAGGCCCACCTCCCGGTGGGCGTCGGCTCCCCGGAGGGGGCTTCTTCCCACGATTGTCCTTACCACGTTTGCTGTCGCGATCTGCCTGTGAGTCCCTGTCATCATCTGGAGGGTCAGGTCCTGGTGGCTTTCCACCTGCATCCGATGGTGCAACACTTGTTGGTGGATACGTTGGGGACCTAAGACCGGTTATCTCAGAGACAGGATCCTTATTATCCACTGGTGCATTTCCTTCCGGGTCAAGCATTTCCCATATATCTTGGTTGGGTTCCGCTGGTTTAGACGCACTTGCTGATGCAAATGACGGCAACGGTGCAGAGTACTTGACCTCAGTGGACGGCGGTATTATGGCAGTGGCAGTCTGGACAATTGGAATCGGCATTGGGCCTATTGTGTCAAGGAGTTTACTCATCCTCATGTTCATGGATTCGGTTTGCAACTGTTGGGCCTTTATTTGCTCACTCTGTTGCTTGATGATGGATTCAAGTTGGGACATCTGCATCTTACGATGTTCATCCTGGCGTTCATAGTGATCCCTGAGTGATTGGATTTGTTGTTCCTTCGTTGCATTTGACTGTCTGGCATTTCCGTCTAAAACCCTTTTATATACTTCCCCTTGTTGGGCCAATTCTTCACGAAATTGATTTTCCCGACTCTCTGCGAGCAACATCATCTGTTGCATCCGGGCACTCGCAGCTTGTTCTTCTGCATGGAACCTTCCGCTCATTTCGGACATCATCGATTGCACCATGTGTTCAGTGTTGGCTAATGCCTCTCGATGACGTGCTTCGGCAACCTGCTCTACCATCTGTGTAATTGCAGGGTCGTGTGAATTCACGTACACTTCATTGTTTTGTACCTGTCGTAGATTCATGGTGTTATTCACCTCAGTCATCTCATGGTGGTGTACCTCGACAGTGTTGGATTGTACATGATGTGAGCCGGCAGGCATGCCCTCCCGGGATGCGTGAAAGTCATATCCACGGTGTGAAAACCTCTGGGCTCCACTTTGGGGCACAACGGCGCCTGGTGGAAGCGGGACACGGACCTCACGTTTATCACTGCGGGAGCGTTCTGAAGGAGTCTGGGAAGTTGTGTGACTTGGTGCATTGTTTCCAGTTTGGCCATTGTCTGCATCCTCGATCGCCATGGCTTGATGGATCCCGGAATCGCGCGAGCCCTCTGGAGATGGTTTTCCAAAGGGGGCAGACATTTACTTACAAAAGGAAAGTATCTGGCGATACGGCTGATAACCTATACTTACAGGGAATCAAGCCAATATCAACCAGAAAGCGCACACACTATTTTGTCTTGAGCCTTGAGCCGTAAGGTCAGGTGATATATATATGGTAGACTACATGGCACACTTTACAGGGAGGTAACGGATACTACCTAATGACATCCCGTAAAAATAGGAATAAATGATATACCAGAAACAAACAACATATAATATGCAGCATATGCATGTGTACAACATATGTATGCTACCCTCTGGTAAACTAACAGTTTGCTATTGAACATGGCCCAGTCGATATAGTGGATTTACCCATTAAACATGGTGATTTTCCATAGTTATGTTGGTTTACCAGAGGGTATATTGCTTTGTGACCAACCACTTCCCGAGTCCAAGTTCCGGGATCATGACCTCATCGTAGATGTTCTTCACGTAGCCCTGCGGAGCTACCAAGCGGGTAGAAGGAAGTGGGTCACAATGGGTCACAAAACCCATTAACATCCATCAACTATATGCTCCAAATATCCCAAAATAATAAAAAACAACAACATGCTCAATACATATAGGCTTGGAAAATCTCAAAGAGGAAAACTATTGCAAACACAGTAGCAAATTGACCAGCCAAGAATGTGCCTTTGACATCACATCCTTTACCCAAAGAATTGTTCCAGCCCAAAATGCACGAGAACGAAATGACTTGACAATACCTGGCAACAAAACGGGAATGAGCAACCTACGTCAAACAACAGTTTTCGATCAGACATAGATGTGCGGTGGCAATCTTATGAACGTCCTTCTTTGGGCAGCGGAAATCTGCCTCCAACCTGGCTTGATTGTATAGTGAGTTGAACTTCAAAAAACAGCTGAACTATCTCATCTGCGTCCTATCTAGAAACTCCAACGACACATGGTCACACCCTGCCTCTCTGATTTGAGACAGGTGCACCATACCTTGAGTACCTGAGGGCGCTGCGTAGTGAAAAACCGGGGCTGATCCTGGAGAGATTCCTGAACTTCGATTTTTGAACTTCGTGAATCGTTAGCAATACGGTCCAAGACTATTGTAGTTGGAATGCAGCGGGATATAACCCATGCAGTTACTAGCGATTCACTAAGTTCAGCTGTCATCCCAGTAAGATCTTGAGCCTACTTCGTACTCCTTGGCCTGTTGGCCAAATGCCTAATCAAAACGTGCAATCATTTTTCGCAGAAGAAAGAACAGCCAGTGGGATTTGAAGCTCTTATACATATATACATATACTGTATATATATATATAACCGGGATACACCCAGAAGTTTCTGAGACCTGCACCGGCACCAGGTGACTCCATGACCTACGCGAAAACTCGGGTCACGGTATCTGAAACTAAGCACGTTATCTGTAGCCTTTCAACGGAGCAAAAACAAAGAGCGCTACCCTCTGGTAAACTAACAGTTTGAAAATGGCCATAGAAATAGTTGATTTACCACCAACAAAATGGTGATGTTCCATAGTTATGTTAGTTTACCAGAGGGTACCAACAAAAATCACACTGAAGAACAAATGAAATGATGGACTTTGGTTGTTGGGCACTGTTTCTCCTCAGGCCTTGTTTTGCACTACCATCGGTTTGGTTTCAATCCTACCTGGACTTATCTGGACTTGCTTCCCCGGTAAAAGGTGCAGAGCCCAATTGTCTGAACCCAGCTAGATGGGACAACCCCTGTTGCGCAGACCCCCAAAACAAATAGCAAATCCGAGAAACTAAAACCAACCATTTGTATCCACTTGTGGCCCCAAAGAATTAACAATGCAATAAATTATTCAATCTCGGCGGCTTGTTCTAAAGGTTAATTGTGGTTAATTAAGTCGCTTTCACTGGGACATATCCCGCTACCGTCTATGCAACCCCGAAACCACTTAAAATCAAAAATGCGTCGATATCAAGGTGCCGATACTTTCATGGCTTGACTAACCCCCCAAAAAAACGTGTTTTTTCACCCAGTTGCGATTCAGTGGGGTCCTCGTCCGATCCTACAATGTGGAGCCCCCAGTTGTAAGTTGGTTTGTAAACCCCATTAGCTATAGCTATAGATATAGATATTAATTATAAATTATAAGCCATAGTTATTAAAGTTATAAAAAACAACTTAGCAATTTCGTAAACAGGGGCCGCACATTGTATCAACGGTGTCAACGTGGTTCACAGCACCTCCACGAAGATGCCGAAGGCTTTGATGTTGTAGACCTTGGCCTGGAACCACTTGGACCTGGCCATATGGGCGCACGGGAATTGATTGACATCATATGACGTCATATGATTTTTATATATATATATATATTTATTTATGTGCAAGAATTCCAAGTAATCCATGTTTTTTTTGTTCTAGTTTTTTGTGTTGAACATTCCAGATCGATCCCTGCATCGCAGAAAACATGATCCTTGGAGATCCGACCGGTCTTGGTGAAGACCCATCCGTTTGGCGGCCCGTCCTGTCCAAATCTTCCATTCCCAAGTCCTTGGTGGAAAGTTCCAAGTTTCCTGCCAGAGGTTGGGCAAACTTGGAGTTGCTATCTTGTTTTTGAGGTCCAAGAAAAGGAACACATTCTATCATGAGTTACTCACAGCCACCTTCCATCCGTGCATCCATATGCGCATGGATACACATAAAATACTTGTGCATAAATATATATATATATGTGTGTGTGTGCTTCACAACTTAGGCATGATTTCAAAGGTGATATATCGCTCCTCTCTCTGATATTGTCTCATCTGTTTCCTAATCTGTTTCATTCTGTTTCCCAAGCCATATTTTATCACAAGCATATTTCCATTGCATTTCGACCTGAGAAAGTCACCGGTGCACATGGCCTCTGTCACCAATCACCTGTACCGTCAGCTTATCTCCAACCTTGAAGGCCTGCAAGAAATGGAATGCACATGAAGCCGTGCCAGTTAGAACATGTTAGAAGCATCACCCGGTTCCCAGGTCGTCTATGGTTTGTGTTTGTTTTTCCTTACCTACGTTCAAATGATTTCTTTTTAAGAGATATGTCGTTTTAGAAAGCAACATATCATCTAGATAATGATGACCTCCCTTGAAGGGTGATCCAAATAAATAGAACCAATAATACTAAAGCAGGGTTTCTGACAGGCTGCAAGTTTTCACTGCAGCCCTACCTCGTGCGTCGAAGCAACATGGCCAGCCATCTTGGAGACGTGAAGAAAACCTCATGTCTACCAGGAGGAAGGTGGTAAACCATGGTAAACCCAAGGCCATAAGCAACTACCATGTGGGGATGATTCTTGTCAATCATTTTTGAAATAATCCCTTCCCCCTAATATTAAGCACCCCCTTAGAAACCATGGTTTAGTACTGAATTTACACATAATTGGGATCATAAATTGGGGTGTTTAATATTAGGGTGATGGGATTAGTTATTGGAGCTGGATGATCATTGGGTTTACAATGTTTACAACACTGGTTCCGTCAAAGTCACATCTTGGTGATTGCGCGAACTTCAGAACATGCCTTTGACCACCAAGCCTGAGATCTTCACATATACATCTGAAACCACCATGCACCGGGAGGGTTACACTTGACCCCTGATCTTCCAACATGTCATGTCAAGATGGAATGTTGAGATTTGAAGCACTTGACAATATTCGGGGTGTATGCACTGCCTGGTTTGAACAACTGCCCTTGTCAGTCTTCACGTTCCATTCTCTCTGATTTGGGCACATGCAACCATTGATACATATATAGTCACATACCCAGCGACCAACCCTCAAAAAATACAATCACGTTAAATCACATCTCCCTGTTCGATCGTTTTTAGGGTTGTTATAAGTACAACTCCAGGACATCACAAGCGTCACAACCTGACAAGGGGCCTGCATGTCCCAGGCCGGCACGGCCATCTCCCAAAATGACGTGAATTCCGAAGTCCTTCACGTGACTCACAAGACCATCGCAGCGAGAACCGACCTGACACGGGAGAAGGTTGGCGGGAGTTTGTTCGATGGCGGTTCCTCATAGGGTTTTCATTAGGTGGCCAAATGACATTTCAATGGTGTTAAAATGGGGCTTCAATGGTGTTTAAATGGGGTTCCACTGGGTTTTCAACGAATGGGGGTTCCAATGGGCCAATTGTGTAATGCAAAGAAGCAAGTATCGTTCAGAAAATGTCACGCATAAACAAATGCTCACGCCCCATACACCCAGCTTCAGAACCCAACAGCAGGTTCTAGGGTTCCAGCGTTCCAGCAGTCCAAAATTTGCATTGATTTACCATATCTGTGGATAAGATTGAGCAAGCGCACGCGAAGTAATTGGCAAGGAATGACAATCCCTCTGGACTAATCGAACATGGCAAGGGGAAACCCACCATTTATAGATGGTTTTCCCATGTAAAACTTTCATCAGATGGTTTTCTAGATACTGGTTCTCCAATTTTTTATACCCTCTGGTAATTTAACATAGCTATTGAAAATGACCATTTATAGTGGATTTACCCATTAAAATTGTGATTTTCCATAGTTATGTTAGTTTACCAGAGGGTAAATGGTTTTCCCCACTATTTATATCGGAGATTTTCGCTTGCCACGTTTTGGTTACCGAAGGGTTTATTTGTTCTCTCGCCTGCGGTCTGCCGCCCGGCGGAGGCACCGCCCGGAGCAGGCTTTTCGACGCCATGGAAAGGTACAACAAAGTCCTGGGAAATTTCGCAGAAACCGTGGTACAGGATGGTGCCGCCCCAGTTATAAGTTGGTTTATCAGCATTATAACCCCCATTAACTATAGATATATCCGCCATAAACCACAGTTAAGCCACTTATAGGGCAACTTTGCTATCTTGGGGGCCCCATCCTGCATAGAAACCATGGTATATTGACAATTTGAAAGAAGATGTCCGGCACATTTACCGGAAAAAATGCTGATTTGCCAGTAAAACTATTAAAACATCCCATAAATTTAGAATGCAAAATGAATGTCTGCCTATATATTTCCAAATAAAGATGGACATCCCAAAGTTACAGTCATGGGGGTGGATCACACAAAGACGTGTAGATTACCGACAATAAGCGGGATATCCGGGATATCCGAACATAGCTGATAGCGGATACACATTGACCATGATCTACTTAGCCAAAAAAAATGACCTGTTATAACTTAGATAACCAATACCAGCTATTACACAACCAATGGACGAAATCACCAAAACTCAGTGCCAGTAAATGTTCAACCCCCCCTAGGATTCAAATCTTCATTGCCAATATTCCCTCAAGATATAAAAATGCCTCAAGCAATAATGCACAAAATAGGAACGTTGGCATGTGGATGTAGCCCCCTACAGTTTTAGCCCTTAAGAGTTCTAAGTGGTTTTAAGTTTTAATGGCATAAAACCTTAGTCATAGCAGTTATGTTCGCATTTATAGCTGGTGGGTGGTTTGCACCATCTTGAAAAATATTAGTCAATGGGAAGGATTATCCCATATATTATGTAAAAATAAAAAATGTTTCAAACCACCAACCAGATAACTGTTAAGGGCCATAGCTGTCGTATTTTTCAGCACCCAAACGGTCCAACCTGAACAAAGCCGAGTCTCGGTGAATCTTGCGCCGGCACCGGCGCAAGGCCCACAAGGCCCACGTCCGAGAAGGCAGTGGCCGCCTTCCCTGAAGGATCTGATCCAATCTTATGGTAGCCTAACTCCAATAACTAGGGTTTATGGTAAATGTATATCAGGATATATCTAGAGTTAGTTGGGGTTATAAACCAACTTATAACTTACTTCAATGGCCATTCCAGGAACCTAAATTGGAGGTACCTACCATATCTAAGGCCCATTTTTCAGTGCTAAATTTCAGGGGACCCCCCAATTTCTATGGCCCAAAATATGATACTAACGCAGCGCATCTCCATTTTAGGATCCTGGAATTCCCATTCAAAGGTGACCGTTTCTGCACGCATGCTGCTTTTCTGTATGCATGTTTTTCCCATTTCTCCCATTAAAGATGAACATTTTGCTTGAGCACGTTTGATAACCAGAGGGTAGAAATAATTAATGTAACAAATATGACAAATAAATGTAAGTGGAAACAAAAAATATCATCCACCTACTTCCACCTACTAACTTCAGGGATCATCCATGATCAATCATCCCAGTTGGAAACTGTAGTGGCGCTTGCAACTTCCAAAACACTTCCCGGAAAACTGATTGAAACTGGATTTCAGGTTCAGATGTTTTCCGGCATGGCATTTAGAACTTGATGGTGCGTTCAAAAACGTTGCACATAAACTTCGAAAAACATCTGAAAATATGATACCTAACAGGAGATGTAATCACAATTTTATCAACGTGTTAATGTCCATGTAACATGTATCTATCTACGTGGGAAAATGAAACAACATGGCGCAGTCAAATAGGCAGGAAACTGAGAGCTGACTGGAACCGGAACCCTATGATTTATAACGGCTATTGCGTTGCAAATCAATTTGGGCCATGCTATCCCCAAATCATGCCCAATGCGTACTGCGACATTCCACGTGACTGGATACCACATGCTGCGTACATATATCGTCATCCTGCGTTCTTAGTTGTTCATGGATATGCTAGATAGAAATTGGCCAAAGGTTTGCGCGGCGCTTCTTTGCATTGTGTTGTGTTGCCTGCATGAATGCATGCATCATCAAGCGCTTCTTTGCCCTGGGCAAATCTTACACCAATGGCCCCGACACCTCGCCAACCTTAAAGGAAACCAGTGTTTTTCCGATCAAATGTGGTGGGTACGCCCTGCTCAAAAAAAATAACATTTCCTGGAAGCAATTGTTGATTGGATTTGATAAATTTTCTACCCACTTACCTTGCCAACAATCACTGACCATCTCCTGGCCATCCTGCAGTTTTCGTCCAAGTTGCTGTTGGGCATGATACTGGTCACCATTACCTGCACCTGCAAAACATCCGCTAGTGCTAGTTGGAAAACCCCGGGGGGTTGTAAGATTGAGTTCCGAGCGCAATCTTAGCCATGACTATTACAATCAATTGACCACATACCAAGTGGGATGTGCATCCACACAACCGCCAGAAGCAATTCCCTGCCACAGAAAACCAAATCATTTCTTGTCACCAACGGAGATTTTCCATTGCTATGGTCCAATTGTTGCACAGGTCGGCCTGGTCAAAACCTGGTCGAAACAAGTTACACACCCAGCCCTGCCTAACATGATGTAATGACCGCTTTTGGTGCTGGACACATCCCAGTTGTCCAATATGTCCAATCCCGATATACAAACATAGGCTAAACATGCAGGATGCCTCTGTTGGATAACGTTGTGTTCAGCGGGTACCTGCATTCTTGGTGAACGCGTTTTGGGCCCCATGATGTCGGCAGCATTGCACATGCTAGTTTAAAGACCACACCAAACAAAAAGACATTGATGGTAATTATATTCTGCTGTGTGCGCCCACTGAAATTCACAAAAATAGATTAGTCACGTCACATCCCCATAGTATTGAATTCCACTCACCATGCTAAGATGCAATGCTCAACCACCACAGTTTCTGGAGCGGTATTTAGTATTAAAGGAATCAATTCATCAGGTGGTCACCGCAAGCACCCTAATTGCTACTGGCTAATCGCACTTCCGGATGGATTATAACCGAGAAGAAACCTATTCATCAACGTTGGTAGTAAACCCCAAACCGATGAAATAGTTTGAACCGACAAGTGGTTTTAAGTTAATTAAAAGTTAATTTATAGATCTATCATTGATCTATAAAACAACTTATAACTACTTATCAATCGATCAATAGAACCAATGTCCACCCAGACAACATCCCCCGGCCTCATCACCGATCTGCACAACTGTGAAAGGATCTTCCACGAAGTCATCACTCAGCGCAGCGACGTGGACCTTCATCTATGGAACAGGATATGGAAAGTGTCAGGGATTCAAAAGCAAATCCGTATAGGTGAAAAGGTGTATGCAGTATGTATGAATGAAAGTATGTATGAATATATGTATGCATGTATGCATGTATGAATGAATGAATGAATGAATGAATGAAATGAATGAATGAATGAATGAATGAATGAATGAATGTATGCATGTATGCATGTATGAATGAATGAATGAATGAATGAATGAATGAGCCGTGTCAGCTCAAAGTTGATGCGTGGCCTCCGGGCCTCCCAGCCCAGGAAACCGTGAAGTGGTGGGGGCTCTTATTGGGGTGTAGCCTTAACCAATTCCTGGCGTAGTTCTTTTGTTGATTTGGTTCCATTTTGCTCCTTCCAACTACACTTGGATTGGCAGACATGTTCTCTTTCTTTGGTTTGATTTCGGCCTGGTCGGACCTTCTCCTCCTCTGGAGCCCTTGTGCCGTTGCAATGGCATCTCATCAACCTGGACTGGCGAAAAGATGTCGCTGGGAAACATCTGGCGAGAAGATTGGCATGGAATTGTCAGATAAATGTGAGCTTGCCCTGCAGGATGGCTCTTCCATCCATTCTTTGCAGATGATTTCCAGCGATACTCTCAACCCAGCAGCCAAAGGGATTGTCTTTGTCACCATGACCTCTATGCGGAAACTTCTGAAGTTGGAAACAACCAATCCGTGTGTTGCCATTGTGAAGGGCTTCCAAATCCAGCAGCTGATTAAGTGGGGATTTGAGAAGACAAAGCTTCAGCAGGCCATTTTGGTGCTGAAAGATTCCTGCACCATGGTTGTTGAGCCTAGAGCCGTGACCTTGGTGAATTTGTGTGACGACCCCGCTTGCTTCATCTTCAAGAATGAAGAAGGCTGTGAGATCACAGTTCCTGATCTGCAATCAGTTCATGTCATCTTCGAGATTCGGAAGGCAACGACCTCAGATGATTTCTGGCGAGCTTTCTCTGATTCCTCTGCTTTCTCTAGATACACGTCCCAGATCATTGAGAAAGAAGACCCTGAAGGTGAGACAACATTCTTCCCCACGGTGCCCAGAGAAGGATATGTCTTCAGGCGGGCTCTCATACCAGCCCACATTCGTGATCAAGTGTATGCGCATTCTGGCTTCAAAGGGATTACAGTGAAGTCTCTCCGGCAGACCAATTCACCACATGAAGATGGCTTGGAACTGATTAGGGTCCCTGAAACAGGGAAATCTCTTCACGAAATCTGGCACCAGGGACACACGAAGACTGGATGGCTAGGAGCCTTCTCCTCAGCAAAGGCAACTTACATCAGAAGCACAGATGCCAAATTGTCCGAGATGCGAGCGTTTTGGCTCCCTGATGACCCGAGATGGACTGCCAACAATCGAGACTTGAAGCTGACCAAGTTCTTCAAAGTCCAAGGGTTCGTTGTGGCGATACAGGCGAACGACGCTACCAAGATCATGCATGAGAAAGGATGGAACATGGTCGTGCTTCGAACCTTTCAGAACGCCGAATTGTCAACCCTGGTAGTTGGATCAAATTCAGATCCGCCACAATTGCGATTCACTACCAATTTGGGATCCTTGCTCATCACACCCCTAGAAGCACAGGATCGCGGACAGATTGCTAGGCAGAAGTTTGCGAAAGATCAGAGTCTTGCCAAGGCAGGCACTGCCGAAAAGAAGGGTGACACTACCCCCTCAACGGCATCATCAAGTTCCAATCTCGCAGCGGGTGATCCTTGGGCATCTGCAGCCCATGCCAACACAAGTAATCGGATTGTTGCTATGGAAAAGAAGTTTGTGACCCTCAGCGCGCAGGTAGAAAAGCTGGAAAAGGGCCAAGAAACCACGAAAGAGCAGATTAGCACCTTGAAAGCCAGCCAGGATTCGGGATTTAAACAACTTCTTGATGCCATTGCTGATCTGAAGCTTTCGAAACCAGGTGAGTCTTTGAGCTCAACCCCGGTTCCATCCCCAGCGCCAAAGGTGGCAAAGTATCATTAAACTTCAGTTTCCCTGAATGTTTTTCTCTGTGTTTGCTACTTTTTGGTGAGATGGTTCTGGGCTTTCTTTGTGGGTTGCAGGGCGTCTCACTCGCCGGGGTGGTTGCTTTGGCTCCTTTCTATTGTGTTCTCATTAACTATATGTACCGGTTTGGGACCCTCTGCTGTAAGATACCACCCCGAAAATCTGAACAAGGGCGTTATGCCAGGAAACGCCGCAGTTTTGCCAGAAGAATGTTAGCCAGAAGCGCTCTCAGTGTCTTGCTCATTCAATCTTTTGTAATTCAACCATTCGCGACTCGACAAGCATGCGGCTCTGGCCGTATATTTTTTTGCTGTCATGCCTGCTCTTTCAGTTTTTCACCTGGGCGCAGGGCTTGCCAGCCCCCGCCAAATCTGAACGAGAACAGGACGACACAATTTTGTCGTTTGATGCAGCTCACATCCTTCATGACAAGTTTGTTCTATTTCGCTCATTTGTTTTCCCCATGTAAAGGTTACCCTGGTGAAGGGCCAATGCAGATTGCTACATTAAATGTCACATCATTGCCCAAAAGGCTTGATACAGTCCTTAACTTTGCGAACTCGTGCCCTGATTTGGGTTGCCTCATTCTTCAAGAAACACGAATACCTGCCAGCCGGGTCAATTCTTTGACACTTCGGGCCAGAAATGCTGGGTGGGACCTTTTAGTTGGACATCAACCCCCAATCAGAGCGATTAAGTCTGATAAGGCTTCTTTACGCCAATCATGGGGAGGCCTGGCTGCTTTGGTTCCTCGTGACCACCCAGCACGGCTGTTGTCATTTCAATCTGGGTGGAGCCATCTCGAAAGGGTATGTATGCCACTATGGATTCCTTCTGATGATGGGAGATCAGGATTTGTTGTGTTAAATTGCTACCTACCAAGCGGTCAATCTGTAATTGATGAGCGTGAAACTTTGCTGTCGGATATTTTCAGTTTTGCTTCCATTTTTGACACATCCCCCACAGTAGTTGGAGGTGATCTCCAATGTGCTCCGGAGGATTCCAGTGCACTTACGCAAGTATTGGCTTCCAATCGGTGGTCAGATTTTTATGCTGATTGTTGCAGATCCAGGAACTTAGAGCCCGAGGCCACCTACTCAGGAAATGGGTGGGCGTCAGGTTTTCGGGGTTTGAGAAAAACTCGAATCGACCATCTCTTTTTGAACGACTTGGCAAGATCAGCGGCAAAAGAAGCAAGCATCTTTCGAGGTCCAGTTGCGCCTGGTCACTGTCCAGTCGTTATAAGATTAGAGTGCCAGGTTTTCCATGAGATGGTTTTTGGGCTTAAACCACACCCTCAGTGGAACCTTCCCCCCAAACCTTGTTCTCAAGAAGAATGGGATGAAAGGGATGCAATTTGCCACCCGATCCTAACAAAGTATATTCCTTCGTTTGTTCGGGCAGCTGAAGAGGGTGACCCCCAAACTCTCTGGGATAGTTTGACCCGTATGATGCACGAGATGCTAAACTGTATAACTGGCCAGTTCATTCAGTCACGTAGGGGTGATATTCCGGTTTTCGAACAAAAGCCATTCCTTCCACCACCGTGTAAGCAAAATCAATATCAACAAGTTTCTTTAAAGATTCGTAAGCAATTGCATGAATTGTCCAAGAAAAACCAGCAGAGACATGAAGATAATCCTGTTTGGATGACTCACCTAAAGAGGACTTTGATTAATACCTCCAAGGGTTTGGGGACTTTAGGGTGCACGGTTCCTACACAAGGGTTCTCCCAACAACAAGTCACTGAATTCCTTAGTGCTGCTAACCAGGCATTGACAACATGTGATCTCGACAAACAAATGCAGGACTCCACTAAAGCCATCCATGAGTGGAAAGATCGACTTAGGATTTCCAATTCTGCGGATAAGAGGGAAGTTTTTCGATGGTTAAAAGGGGTTACCCCTTCGCACCCCAAAACACTTGTTCGCCCTGATGGATCCTTAACTGGGAGCCCTAATGAGATTCTTTCCCTCCTGAAAGATCATGCT